TCTGTTGTGCTCGTTTTCTTCATTACTAGGGCTAGGGTATTCTACAGTAGTGGTGTACTAGGGCGCAGACATATTGACTTGTAACGAAGATCTGCAGCCAAGAAAAGGTAGGGATGAACGCAATTGAAAAACTAACATCGAAGATCAGCGGTCAACCAGAGACAGGGACGGATTAGAGGCAATAAAAAGGGTCGATGCAGCCGGCGGAGCGGAGTCGAATGGACTGTGCCTGTCGAACGATTATGGCTTGTGGATGGTCATTAAATACCCTCCGCTCTACCTCACTTTTCTAAATTAGGCTCAATGTATACTACGTTGGGGGCGGCTGATATGTTCAGATCACACAAATCAAACATCTGCCCTTTCCTTTTCAATTATGGCCAGCGAAGACTAATACTCATGAATGCTGGCTGCATTTTTTTCATCACAGTACTTCCGATGTTCCTTATCATTACATTCAAAGGCATCGAATGAAATTCGGAATTTAGAAACCTGATGCACTACAAGTTGAGTAGGAACCTGGGATGGTTGATGCGGCATTTGTGTATGTCAGCAAGAGCGATGGCCCTTATCCACCAAATACTTTAGCCACTCTCGTGCTTCAGGAAACGTCTAACTGGATTTTTTATCTTTAGATTCATTTTGACAGTTCAACTAAACAAGACAAAGGCGGAGGTCAGCAACAATTCCGAGGTGAAGAGTGTATTTGCGCAAAAGGGCGCAGGCAAATTGGATAAGGCCGAATTCGAACGATTCACTTTTTCGATGCGTCTTAATGGCTCACGTTGTATGTCAGTAGGACACCAGGGAAAAGGATGAACGAGAGACACCAAAAGGTGTGTTGTTTTAGCCAGTACCTTTTTATCGCTAATAGACGGTGCTTGATGGACGGTTGACAATGGGACTCTTTTGTTAGCTAGTATCATGAAGAAACTGCAAGCACAATAACTTACAAGACAACACTTGGGCTTACGTACAATAAAAAATTTAGTTTTGAGGTGACGAAACGTCTTAGCAAACCGGATGATAACTTTCCACATGGATATTTCGTTTTGCTAATCCATTAAAAATCCCCTTTTCATCGTGTTACTCCTAAGAACTAATTTGCATTTTTGAAGGTATAGATATTAGGTCTCCAACAAGAGTACAGTCTAAATGATAGCAATCGAATGCTCCGAAATTGCTCTGGATGCCTAATAATATTCGCTTAGATCAAGACAAGTTTGCACATTTAATGAGTCAAAGGTAATTGTACTTGTAAGGCATATGGTCAGGACTTGCCGTGAATTGAATAGGTCTCTAATTATTATAATGCATCAGAGATATGGATAAATACATTCTGTAAAGCAAAAAAATATTGTGTCAGCAAGGGCCTTGTGACGCAATCAAGGAGGACAAGTTAAATGATTTGATAATTAAATAATTCTAAATTGTGTACGCTCGTGAATACACATGAACGAAGTTTGACCACGTTTACCTTTTCTTGCCTTTCAACTATTTAAACAACCGGCGTAAAGTAGTTCTTAAAAGTTGTAATCGAACGGGGATACTTAACACTTAAGGTTATTTCAGGAACTGAATGTTTTCAAGGACAATGCGTATAAGCACTTGGTAAACATCGCTTTCGCAATTCTCGGGAAACATTTTTGGCGTGCTGGATTTGGCCTCCGTTCAAATCCAAAAAGGTGCTTGAGATCTGGAAATTCATAAAGCAAATTATGAATTGAAACTAGGAAAATCGGAAACGACAATAATTATGGGAGACAGTTACTT